AATTCTTCCATGATCTTAAACATTACTATTGGGATGAGCCCTAACTTTTCAAGAGAGGCGCCGATGGTATTTTCCATCGATGTGTCCCTGAATAGGAAGTACATGATATCATATCTTACTGCCATTCTGCACCCTACGGAGGACATGCAAGCACTTCAAAGACTTGTGTGAAGTTATTACACTCTGACCTATTTTGGCATAACCTTTGGAAAGACATCCACACCGCGATTATGAATTGCAACCGGTGCCAACACACTGGAAATTCCTCTAGGCGCGATGAGATGCCATAAAAGGGTATTTTGGAGGTGGAAGCCTTTGTTGTTTCAGGTATAGATTTCATGGGCCCATTCCCATATTCTTTTGGTAACAAGTACATACTCGTTGCAGTCGATTACATATCCAAGTGGATCGAGGTAGTGCCTTCTCCTACTAATGATGCACGAGTAGTGATCAAAATTTTCAGGAATGTAATTTTTCCTAGATTCGGTGTACCAAGGATTGTCATTAGTGATGGTAGATCCCATTTCATTTCGAATATCTTTGGAAGACTATTGTACAAATATTGGGTCTGGAACCGAGTAGCAACACCTTATCTTCCTCAAACAAGTGGACAAGTTAAGGCTTCTAATAGAGAAATTAAGTAGATTTTAAAGAAAACTGTTGCAACCTCTAGGCTTTCATAGCCTGCTCAACCTCTCTTTCAGAAGTTCTCTCAGTCAGACACGACTCTTATGCATCTAAACTACTTTGCAGCTCTTTAATTTTCATGGTGTCCAGATTTTTAGAATGTCCAATTGCTACAACAATGTAATCAAGTTAAGGGGTAAGAGACCTCAATATCTTCTCAATGATTATTTGTTCAAAAATGGTTTCTCCACACGATTTTATCTCATTTGTGATCAGAACCACTCTAGAGATGTAATCTAGTACCTTCTCATTGCTCTTCATGTTGAGATTCTCATACTGCTTACGTAGAGATTTAAGCTTCACCTTCTTCACTAATATATCACCACCGTAACACCTTGTCAGGACATCCCATACAACCTTCTTCGTTGTCGAATCAGTGATTTTCTCAAACACATTCGCATCCACACACTAATGGATGTAGAACAACGCCTTTTGGTCCTTCTTCCTTGTATCTCTCTACGCAATCCTCTGTTCATCAATCGCCTATGCTGAAACCGAAACGTAACCTTCAGTTACAAGATCAAGCACATCTTGAGCATCGAATAACACACACATTTGAATCATCCACCGATTCCAATTCTTTCTATCAAACACCGAAAGTTTAGTATTCAAACTGCTTTCGCCACTCATATTTGTTTTATGCACTAAAAACTCAAACAGAACTCAGATGTCACCAAACACTCGTGTTTCTCGACCCCGCAAAATTAAGAAATGTAATCTTGTTACGATTTCGACCGTGAATTCAACACGAATTCGGGAACAACGAAATCAATTACACACGTCTCACGTACACTCGTGTTTCCCTATGAATCTAACTGGAGCTCTAGATACCAATTGTTAGTGCACAAAAGATTGAAGATAAAAAAATGAATATGGAAGAAGAGAGAGAAAGAATGACGGCTACAACAAACTTGTTGTGAAAGAAATTATATATTAGATTCTTACCTAAACCCTAGTTATAAAGTTGCTTATATACACATAATAAACTGCCACGTAGGCCCTAACAAAGTAAATTTAATGACTAAATTAACAAGCAAACTAGGACTCCAAAAGCTAAACATGCTTCTAGAACAAGAACTCAGAAACTCCACTGCTTCTGAGTAATAGCCTTAGAAACTTCAAGTTCCAACAACAACTTTTGAATATAAATTACTTCTAACATGTATATCAATAAAGAATAATGTAGTAAAAATTATATTATTTTTTCTGATAAATAGATATATCAAATAAAATAAAATAAAATAAATTGTCCAATGCATCAACCATCAAACAAAGTACAATATAAAAAATTATCTTGTACTGTCAAATATTATTCTGTCTAATATTTCTTATTTTACAAATCAAACGCACCTTAAGAACAAAGAGAATAGTCACTATTTTAATTATTTTAAATAATAATTTTTAGATAATATTAAAGATCAACCATATAACTCATTCATTTATTATTAAATTTTTATAATAAACCATCATATAATGTTATTTGTGACTTGATTTTTTTATATAAAAAAAATATGATTTTTTAAAAATGTATTATTGTTGAACTTTATTTTTATAGTATTTTTTTATTATAATTTTTAGTGTTACTTATAATATAAATAAAATCTTAATTTTTTAATTTTTTTAAATATTTTTTATTAGGGTCCAACATTGATGATTTGATCAGAGTCTCAAAATTATTTCGACCGGCCCTGTAAATATTACAATGTGTTTGTTTAGTATTGCCGTGATTTTGCAAAAAAATTACAGTTTGTAACTTTTACTCCATCACCATAACACCATGATTTGTCCAACAAAATAATGTGTGAACAATTTCAATCGGATAGGCAAAATCATTGACAAATATACACCAACCAACCACAAGTTGGTGCCATCAAACAAATTAAATTAATTGACATGGTCTATACACCCCCCCAACAATTTGGTAGATATATGTAAATTCTTTGATTAGGAGCATATGCCTAACTTCCACTTGCTAAATCCAAGCAGAATCTTACAAGTGAACTAGTTATATTCACATAAATTTCTAAGAGTTTATACTTTTGACCTCTTCAAAAAAACTCACTCAAGCACGGCCACTTATAATGAGAGGTACCCTTTATATTATATTTATGGTTAATTTTGTAGCATAGTGGGGAGTCAATATGTTGAGTGGTGCATCATAATTCAGAATATAGATACATTCTCAAGTAGTAGTTTGACAGCAACAAAATAATTGATCTATTCCCCTCTTTTGGACTTTTTAGCACCGCGGCTTTTAAAAAAAAAAGAAAAAGGTCGAAACAAACATAAAGTAATAGTTTGTCCAATGCAAAACACACTTTAAATCGCGATATTATCTGAAATAATATAATATTATCGGTGCTTTACACGTAAATTACGAATTTATTTGGTGATAAGCGCAAGATTGAGGAGATATTCGTCATTTTAGTGCCAAGTTGACAAGTTGGTTTACGGCATTATTATTAGTACTGTATCATCTGGAGCCCTCGTCATGATTTGAGAAAAATGAGTATGATCCGAGTCAGCTTATGCTATTTTCTAGATTCAGGTGGACCCATTTCATATTTACACCTTTAATATTAATAGAATAAAAGAATATATTTTCTTCGTTTTAAAATATAAAAGAAAAAAAGTATTTTTATTATCTCAAATATAAGAAAATATTAGCTTCATTTTTTTTAAATGTATTTTTTTTATAAAAATCAGAAGTCAAATCATCATATTTATATTTTTTTAATAAGTGTGATTTTTTTTATTTATATATTTTAGGATGGAAAGAATACTCACATCATAATAATTTATAAATAAATTTAACTTTTTTATATATTTAATAATTAATGTATGTATTTGTATATAGATTAAATATATTAATTATAAAAAATAAAAATAAAAGTCAAATGTTCTAGGGAAATTACATGGTTTACAGCTCAATGCTGACGACATATGATTGTGACCCATGTCTTATGTTTTTGTCCAAGCACTTTATCACTGTCTCCTTCCCACCTCTTAAATACGAAAAAAAGTAAAAAATTATCTAATTGCTACTCACTCATTGTCTGTATTATGTCTCTTTCTTTGCTGTCCAAGTAAAAGCAAATGACAGGATTATGGAACTCATTCCTTTAATCCAAAATCATTAGTTAACCAAATTTTAATCCAACCTGCAAACATCAATTTTAATGGAAATAGCAATTTGAAATTCTCTTTCTCTGGTTGGATAACTTTGGTCAAATTATGTACCTTTTCATTTGTATATCAATTTGGTAATCTGAATTCAGCATTTCTTTCCTATAAAAAGATACATTTTGAAGAGTGCACTTCAAACAACAATATATTGAACAATTTAGACTCGTAAAAGACATTAACATCACATATCTAATCAATATTTTTATATACATTTTTATTTAGTATCACAGTGATTTTAAAAAAAATTATACATTGTAACTTCAACTAAATCACCATAACACCATGATTTGTCTAACAAAATCAATGAGACTAAATAAGGCTAAATAATCCTGCACTATCAATTAGCTAAAGTCAGCACATCTTGGCAAAATCATTGACAAATACACACCAACCAACCACAAGATGGAATCATCAAACAAATCAATTGATATGGTCTATAAAACTTACTTTAGTTCTAGTATAATTGAGTTTAATAGAATTGATTTTAATAGAATTGAATTTATTAGAATTGATTTATGTTTATATACAATTATGTAAGAGTGAGTTGAATAAAAATCATTAAGAATTAATTCTGGAGATAGAAATTACAAATTCTAATTTTAAGTAGAACCAATTCTAAAGACAAAACCAATTCTACTTTTAACGAACTAAACACTTCAAAATCAGCTCAAATGAATTTTACATCCGTAAAATTTGATTGTAAATCTTATAGAAATGGAACCAAACATACGCATAAATTCTTAGATTAGGAGCATATATGCAAACCTACCACAACTTGACAAATCCAATCATTGATCCAGTACATACCACAGATTACAACAACTCACCACATCTAGAAAAATAAAACATAACACATAATATTGGTCCATTGTGCATAAACATCACAATCAATAAGACATTATTTCCTAACTACAAACACACTTCATAGTTGATACCAAATGCAAATGAAACAGAAGAAGAACAAAACAACAAGACAATTAAGCCAACATCACTGATGTATTACTGGAAGCTAATTACAAACCTCAAAGGAAGTATCAAACATTTATGAATCTTGTAATACAAATCTAAATGAATTACACTAATGAAAACACCTAAAAAAAAAATAACTGATGTGATTAGTGAGAGAATTAGCAGGATGAATGAGAATCACCCTGCCAACTCCACACAATGTCTTTGAGAGAAGGTCTAACTTCATCTTCACAGAACTTCACATACTCTAGAGTATCTCCAGCTGATTTAGAAAACTCCACCACCGCCACATCCGGCGCAACCTCAAACACCTCCACCGTCATACCCAATTTCCCCTTCCTCCCCTCCGTGGCCCCTTGCATTCTCACAATGAAATCCTTCTTCCCCGTCACCTTCAAATTCAGCTTCTTGGCTAAACTCTCCAGCTTCCCAACCACAGCCGAGGCAGACAATTTCGATATAAACATGGACGGCGATCTCTTCCTAGTCTCAAACAAATTCCTCAAATCAAATCCATGCGACAAGGACGAAATGATCTCAAACGCATTATAAGACGGCCTCCTGGCATGTTTGGTACCGATCCCAGCCACAGCCTCAGCATTACTCCCATCACAATTCCCTTCATCATCACCACTAAAATCAATGTTATCATCCACAGCAGATTCCTTCATCGAAAAAGCAATAGGTCTCATAAACCCTACTTGAAACCAAGGATCTTTCATAATATCAACAATCGAAAACCTCTTTTCAGGATCAACAACAAGCAAATTCTTAATCAATTTCTTGGCCCCCGGCGATATCCATTCCGGCAAAGCATAATCCGCTTTAAAAGATTTACTATAAATCCTCATCACATTCTCCCCTTGAAAAGGCAAATATCCACAAAGCAAAGCATACAGAATCACACCACAAGACCAAATATCAGCCTTCGATCCATCATATCCAATCTTCTTCAAAACCTCCGGCGCAACGTACGCCGGAGTCCCGCACGGCGTAACAAGCATCCCATCGGATCTTCGTTGATCCGGCAACGCCGACAATCCAAAATCCGAAACCTTGAGATCTTCATTCTCATCCAACAACAGATTCTCCGGCTTCAAATCACGATGCGTAACACCGCGACTATGACAGAAATCAACAGCACTAATCAATTGTTGAAAATACTTCCTCGCAATCTCCTCTTTCATCTTCCCTTTCGCAACTTTGGCGAAAAGCTCGCCGCCTTTGACGTATTCAACGACCATGAACACTTTGGCTTTGTTCGCCATAACCTCTTTCAACTCAACAATGTGAGGATGACGAACGAGACTCATAACAGAAACTTCGCGTTTGATTTGTTTCATAAGCCTCTCTTTCTTGAGCTTCTCCTTCTTAATCACTTTTATAGCCACGCTCTCGTTCGTGCTAACGTTTTTTGCATGGTACACTTTGGCGAAATTTCCTTGACCTAGAGTTTTACCTATCTCGTATTTGTTGAACAGAATGGTTCTTTTCTTGGTTAAATTATTGATACGATCCATTTCGAAAGAAATTCAGGTTTTGGTTTTGGGGGTGGGAGGGGTGGTTTGGGAATTAACTAAATGTGTGATGTTCTTCTCAGTTGTTGCTGAGGAAATGGAATTGTTTAACATGGGAAGCACCAAGGGTGTTCAGCTTCATGTTTTTGATGAAAATGGTGTCGACAGGAGCGACCACGTTTTGAAGAAAGGATTTAGAAGGGTTGAAAATCTTCATGGTGCATAGAAGAGGGAAGAAAGGGTTTGGGTTTGGGTTTGAGGTGAAGAGCTTTGAAATGTATGGAAGAGATTTATATGGTTTGAATAAGGGTTGTGCTAATTTGGATGCGAGTGGAAAATAGGGTTTTTGATTTTTAGATGGAAAGTATACACGGTTTTTAGATGACTATGTGCTGCTGGTGTGGTGTCTCTGACCAAGCATGTGAAAAGGATAAGGTACAGAGTTAAAGGGCAAAAAAGGAAATTAATTAAGTTTAGAAATGCTTTGTCTATTATGCTGCGGAATAACCGGAGATACGTGGGTCCGATTTTAATACTATTTGATCTATTTTATTATTTTTTTTTGAAATTTTGATTTAATGCGGTTGTTAAAAAAATCTAGCACTTTTGTGATTACTGCTTAGTCATCGTTCGATTCAAATCGGAAAATGTATATTTTAAGAATGAACTTTTAGATTTTAATAATATTGGAATGCTTTTAAAATTCCACATTGTTTGATTATAATCGAACGGTCATTGAGGTCATGACGGTGTGAATGAAGAACTTTGATGTCTACCGATAACTCTATTTCACGTTTTTCTAGTGGAACAAATAGCTATCATAACATTATCATTTTCGTTTATATATTATGGACCCGTTTGTTTTATTTATTTTTTAAATAATTTTTATAATATAATATAATTTTGAATAATTTTTTTTTATAATATTATTTTTCATAAAAAATTTAAATGAAAATTTAGTTGAATTATTAATTTTGTAATAATGAAAAAAAAATTGGATATCAAATTTTAAAAAATTTCTCTTAATTTTAAATTGAAAATCATTTTTAAAATAGAGTTTTATTTTTTTTAAATTGTGATTTTGACTCAATGACGGATTCAGACGTTATAAATTAATGTCTACACATAAAAGAAAGTATGATTTAAATTATATTAAAAATAAAAAATATTATTATTTAAAATAATATATTTATAATGAAAATCGTCTACCATATAAAATACGAGGTTTAGTAAATATAAAAGTGAGAGAAACCTGAGAGGTGGTGACAGTGTTTCAAATCGACTATTCGAATCGAAAATCATAATGACCATCGATCTGATTTGATTGTTGGATTAAATAAGTTATTAAACCAATGAGATTCAGTCATAATCGATTAAATCAAAAATCGACGAACCAACGATTTTGAAAAACTGGTGAATTAAATGCTTGTTTTTTTGTGAAACAAAACAACGGTTTTTTTTTAAAAAAAATTTTAAAATAAAATTTAAATATAAGTAGACTTTATTATATCTTATTTGGAACAACTTTCACTCTTTAAAATTATATTTATTAGACACTGCACTTATTTTATTATTTAGTTTATGTTGTAGTTAGACGTTATTCAAATTTTATTTTCGTTTGTATTTTATACTATTTTGTTGTGTGTGATCATTATGTTTAAATTTAAATTTACAAAATAAACTTGTAAGTTTATGATATTTTGAAAATTTGAAATTTGGTAGGTCTCGTAATTTTTTTAGAGATCGAGTCATCTGATTCGACTCATTTAATAATTATATAATTTTGTTAGAGAGACTGCTTTGTTAAATTGAGTTATCCGATTTATTCAATTGAATTATCCAATTTAATTCGGTTTAATCATGTGGTTAAACCAATGACTCAATAATTCGACCAATAAACTAATGACTCACTCTCATCAATTTAATGATAGATTCAATTTTTAAAACATTAGAAGGAATATATATATATATATATATATATATATATATATATATATATATATATATATATATATATATATATATATATATATATATATATATATATATATATATATATATATATATTGGTGTGGCTATAACCACAATGAACCTTAATGTGCATCCGCCCATGTTTTGACTATGTTTTGGTCTTCAATAATGTATATTTATGTTATAGAATGTCAAATTAGTGTTTCAATTTAGAAACAACGAATATAAATTTTTTTGTAATATTTTGAAAAACGGTTTTGTAACATCTATTTTCAAAAATACAAAGATTTTTTTTTTTAAGTTGAAACAAACAGGTTCTATGGGTTAGGCATGAAAACAAAACTCGTATCCACGGATATTCATCTGAATCTGCCCTATAGTTGACAAAAAAACTCTTTTTGACCGGACTCAAGTTTGGATTTTCCCCCGATTATAAAATATGAGGACGAGTCGGATAATTGGTACACTAGTACCCACCCTGAACCCACCTATGAACTCACCCCACTTATTTTATTATGTACATTATTTTTTACTTTTGATACTTTAGAATATTAAATATGTGGCTAATATTTTGATAATTTGATTTGTATTTATTATTTAAAATATTTGAAATGTATCTACGAAATTTTTTGAGATTGTTTTATTTGATTATTTAAAATGTAATTTTGATTTTGGAAAAAATCAATACTTCTATCAAAAAATTGATTTTACTAAATGGATGGTGGTGGGTGTTGAAATATTTGATATAATATTATATATAATCCAAGTTGTAATCCAAGTGCAAACCTAGTTAGGGTTTGTTAGCCTACTTAGTGTACAAGTTAATTGTATATAAATAGACTAGTTTGTAAATCAATTTGTAACAATTCAAGTCAATAATATAATTCTTATTTCCTTTATTATCTCTTTCTCCCCTCACTAAAAGTGCCTCATGCACTAAAAAATTGGTATCTAGAGTTCTGGTTAGGTTCTTGATTGTGTTTTCAAGAATCACACGTCAGAGATCGTATTTCTGGGATTGTGGGTTGTTCACTAGCAATCGTTGAGAAAATGAATGGTAACAATAGCCTTCTGAATTCTCTTCCAACTTTTGACGGAGAAAATTGGATTCGATGGAGAAAACAAATGCAATCTATGTTTGACTTTCATGAAACTCTAGAAGTGGTTACTAATGGTGTTTCTGTGATGGCTGCAGATGCAACCGACGCACAAAAAACAACCCATAACGAGCCAAGAAGAAGGATTGAAAGGATGTGTATTACATTCAGACAGTGGTCGATGCGAGAACTTCTACATGATCTCTCATGTTGAATCAGCGAAGGAGGCATGTGATATTTTTGTCAAGTACTACGAAGGAGGTGAGAAAGTCAAGATTTTTAAGTTTCAGACCTTGCATCAATAATATGAATTGTTATATATGGGAGAAGACAAAAAAATTACAGAGTATGTGTCGAAGGTGCAGAAACTCGACCATATCATGAAGGGTTGTGGTGAAACCTTAACTGATAAGATGATAGTTGAGAAGGTAATGTGTACGTTGACCTCTTACTTTGATCACATTATTGTATCTATTTAAGAATCTAATCAATTTGAAACCCTAAAATTGGAAGTTTTGATTGGTTCGTTGGAAGCGTATGAGATTAGGATTGTCGAAAGGAAAGGAGTTCAAGATTCGATACAAGCTTTGCAGACTCAATCATGGAAAAAGAATGTTGGTTCAAACAAATTTAAAGGCAAGTTTGACAAGACTCGGGGCAAGAAGTCTTGGTCGAACCCTCACAAGAATAAGATTAATGATATGGCTTATGAATCCTCGAAAAGAGGAGGAGGGAACTATCAAAAGGACAAAGAAGATAAAAAATGTGTGAAGTGTTATAACTGTGAAAATGGGTTCACTTCGCCAAGAATTTTTTGTACAGGAAATACAAGGGATCGACAGGCAAGGGTGAAGGAGCGAACCTTGCACGCAAAGACTTAGATGATTCTGAAGGTATGATGGTTATGGCTGCAGTTACAGATAACCATGTCGAATCCAAGATCTGGTTCCTTGACTCAGGCTACTTAATCATATAACTGGTCAAAAGGTGTGGTTGGCAGATTTTGATGAGTCGAAGAAGATCAAGGTAAAACTTGCTGATAATAGTTCGTTGCAAGCAGAAGACACTGGCAACATAGTTTTTCAAATGTGTAATGGATGGAAATCTATGATCAAAGATGTGCTCTATGTACCTGAAATAAAGTGCATCCTGTTAAGTGTTGGACAAATGGTCGAAAAAGGTTTCTCGGTTGTCATGAAATATTGAGTTTTAAAATTGTTCAACACTCAGAACAATTTGGTCTTGAAATCTACTTTGTCGAAGAACAAGACATTTAAGACTGTGACCAGTTCGACTGAAGTTCAATGTCTAAAAATTGTTGTCGCCCACAAGGATAGTCGGTTGTGGCATTTGAGGTTTTGACATTTGAACTTTCAATCACTCAATCAGCTGGTATTCCAAGTCTTGAGATGCCCGACAAACTATGTGAAGGTTGTTTAGTCGGAAAGCAATCCATAAATTCATTCATTTTGACTATGCCAATGAGATCATCCTGCATACTCGAAGTGGTACATTCAAATGTATGTGGCCCGTTCGAAGAACATACCATTGGTGGAAACAAATATTTTGTTTCATTTGCCGATGAGTACATTCGAAATTTATGGATCTATGTGATCAATAAAAAGGACGAATTATTCGAAATATTTAAGAGATTCAAGATACTTGTCGAAAACCAGATTGAGAAGAGTATCAAAGTTTTGCAAACAAATGGAGGTGGCAAATACACATCCAATATGCTTCAATATTTTTGTGCAGAATATGGTGTCGATCATGAGGTAACTGCTCTTTATACGCCTCAACATAATGGAATTGCAGAAATAATAAACAAAACCATATTGGATATGGAGAGATGCATGCTCAAGACGAAGAATTTTCCAAAATCTTTATGGGGAGAAGCTGTTTTGGCTGCAGTTTATATCCTGTACAGGTGCTCTA